TCCATATCTACCAAACCGGTGAATTGGATTGGATTGATTTTTATTCAATCCGCCTAATTTTGAACGGATGGTGGATGGGATGCCACCGACCCACCTGATTCGCAATCATCCCTACTTTAGAAATAACTTTGAAAAAACTTGAAATTTGAAGAGTCAAAGTGGAAAAAAAAATATCTTTAAAGAGTCAAAGTGAGGAATTGACTAAACAAAAAAAAACAACAGTTAATTTATCCAAAATGAAACTAGTGAAGCTGTATTTATCTATTCTCAATTATTCACACTTACAAGGAAAAATAATGATTACCATTAGATGGTCATCAATATTTCTCAAAAATAATCTAATTAAACAAATATATATATATATTTTTTTCATGAGGGTCCCGCTGTAGTTCCAACAATTCCCAGTATAATTATTAGACACCTTGGGTGACTCATAGTAAAATAAGGAAATGAAATTTTATTTTTTTTTCTTTTATCTGCGAAGAATAAAAAATGAAATTTTTAACCATTGATTTATTTTTAAAATTTAAACTCATAATTTACTGCATAAATCAATTGAATTATTCAAGTTGTAGTTAATCAACGCTAATCCCGTATTCAATTAGTTAAAATACTTCTCTTCAATAGTTTAAATGATAAAATCTTTTATTTTTAGATAAGGTCCATCACATTATTTCCCTCAATCCTTTTCAAGTGCCATATTCAAAGCAATATGCATTTTTGTTTATAGTATGAATTGTTAGACAGGGTCACTCTGTTTTTATGTCAATTTGGGTGTTTACGCTTTATTTGATTAGGAATTTGTGAATGAGATTAAAAGAAAAAAAAGAAATAGATGAAATGATATAAATATACTGTAAATTACCTCATTCACACATTTTTTTTCCTTTCTCTTTCCAAATATCTCAACCAAACACAGTCTTAAGAACACCGAAATAGGAATCAAGATCTCCTATTCACATTTTATTGGTTTATGGATTTGTAAAATGGTTTATGGAGTTTCGTATCAACAAAATGATATTAAAAATGTATTAGATTGAAGGGTACAGAAAAAGGATATAGAAGGGAAGATTCATTGTTAAATTTGCGTATTTAGCGACAAAAATTAAATTTGACAACCTATTTCTAATTTTGTGTCATTTTTTGGCATGACTATCATCTCATTTTTCCAACTACCATTAAATCACTATAAAATACATCTAGCATTAATAAAAATACTAAAATTTAATTTAATAGCAAAGTTTACGTCAAATTTAACATTAAGAATAACAACTGTAATTAATATAATTATGCCAATTTAAATAACACGTGAAACTACTCTTTAAAACGTTCAAACTAGCTGGATGACTTCTTTGCCAAAACAAAACAAACAACAAAACAAACAAACAAAATCAATGAAAAGATTTTTTTCTCAATTTTCCCAATCAGCTCTCACTCTTTTGAAAAGGTCAGCTCCTTTCAAGTTGGTGAGAGGTTGTGTTAAACTTTAGTAGTTTTTTAAGCTCATTTAACCGTTCATTTTTTAATATCCATCGAAAAGAGTATCTAACACAAAAAATAAATTGATCTGACATCGATAACCAAATAATTGAATTACTACCAACATTGATTGATTTAATTTTTACATGAATTATCTTCCGATAAATCTTATAAAATGAATTGTTCAAATCAATGAGATGAGTTTCTAAATGGATCCACTAAACCTAACAACCCCTCTCTAATTTGTACTCAAAGCACAGAATATAAATGTAACATGGTTTCATATATGATATTGTTGCATGCTACATTTATTAATTTAATATGTACTACACAAAAGATTGCATTACACATCCAAAATTTAATGATAAAAACATTTTGTTTTGAAAGTCACTGAATTTAAATATGAAAAAAAAAAAAAAAAAAAAAAAAAAAAAAACTGAATATTACAAAACAGCTAAAGACATACTTGAGGTAGACCTCGAAAACAGGAAGCAACCTAACCTACACAGATGATGAAAGAAAACAACTCTTTCACAAAACACTTCATTGTTATGTATTTTTCTTACAAAAATGGACGAACTAAAAACCATTTTTTTACTTTATTATAATAACTCGACTTGCTCATGTATTGGTGTGCCCAACAACTAATATGTATACATGAAGCCACATAATTCACCCAATTCCTTTATTTAGCATTAGACATGATTCTTTTATATTTCTCAAAGATTCACCTAGTCAATTTTTGCATGATAAGGTTCACTCCATGTCCTGGTCGTAAATATTCCATCACTTGGGGAGTGGACATAATTTGCATCAAGGGAAAAGAAAAATTTGGAGAGAAATGATAGCTAGGACGACCTTTAGGCCCCGATTGTTTCGTTGATATAAAATGGAGGATATAAATGATGGGATTTAGTCAGGATATATATGAATAGGATATAATATTGGATAGTATATCCCAAGTCATGTTTTGTTGACTTGATATATAAGATTGGATATATGTATGCATGTTTGTTTTACAAAATTATTGTGGATATTAACAAGTAATTTCCAGATTGCCCTCATAATATTATATATATATTATATTAAATTAAATAAATTAAGTATATTTATTAAATTCAAAATTTTATATTAAATATATTATATTAAATTCAATTCAATAATATTATTAACTTAAATTAAATTAAATAATATTATATTATATTATATTATATTCAAAATTTTGTATTAAATTAAATAATATTATATTAAAGGTAAATTAAATTCAATAATATTTATATTAAATTAATTCAATAATTATATTATATTAAATAAATATATTATATTTATATTAAATTTCAAAATTTTAAATTAAATATAATATTATATTAATATTAAATTCAATAATATTATATTATATTAATTCAAAATTTGTATTAAATTATATTATATTATATTAAATTAAATTAAATAATATTATAATAATTATATTATATTAAATTCAATAATATTAAATTAAATTCAATAATTATATTATATTAAATTCAAAAAAATATATTAAATTATATTATGTTAGATAGAAAAAAGGGTAAATTGGACTTTTTACATCATATCCCCACCAAGGGGATATGATATAATGGGGGGGGTGTGGTATTGTATATCCTCCACTTTTGGGGGATATACAATCCCACCGGATATTATATCCCCTTCAAAAAAAAATTGCAAACATGGGATATATAGACCCCACCGGATATAATATCCAATCCCAATCTTTATATCCCCCAATCAAACAGGGCCTTATCTCCAGCATTGCAAATAATTGTCCAACACAGATATGGGGACCATTACCAAAAGGAATATATGCTTGAGGGATTTTGCAAGCACTTCCTACGCCATTAGCAAACCTATCTGGGTTAAATTTGCTTGGGTCAGGATCCCAAAGTTCAGGGTCATGGTGAAGTGGCATCACAGCAACCCAAATGCCAACACCTTTTGGAATTTCAAGGTCTCCAAACTTCATATCTTCTAGGGTTTCTCTTGCTATAAAGGGTACTGGAGGATAGAGTCTTAATGCTTCTTGAATCACTGATGTCAACTACAATTCAAATTAAAGGAAAATACAATTAATTTTCACAAATCTTGCTAATGAACAGATTGTGCACGAGAAAAAAACTCATCCACGAATTTTTAATGCAAATATTTGTGGACTCATACTTACCACTTTCATTTTGCCAAGCATATTGGCATTTGGCAAGCTTTCACCACAAACTTCAGCAACCTCTGCACGGGCACGATCTTGCCATTCCGGATGTGTTGCAAGCAACATCAAGGTCCAGGCTGCAGTGTTTGCTGTGGTTTCAAGCCCTGCAAGGTAAACATTCTTACAGTTGTCGACTATGAGTTGTTCTACTGCAGCTGGTCTAGGAGCACTCATCTTAGCTCCATTGACGATCGTTTGTAGCATGTCCACCTTAGATGAATGCTCGTTTACAATACTCATAATCCGTGAATGTATCTCTTTCTTCAATCTCCATTTCTCTAAATTGCTCTTCGTTGGAATGTACCTAAATAACAACCGTTTTTAAAAATAATCTAAAGAAAAACAAATGCAAAAATACTTAAAAATAATTACTTCACAAATCTAAAATGACAATAAAAAGAACTTCAAACACCTACCACAAGCCAGGAACGCCGCTGACAAGGATTGGAGTTTTCATGGCCCTTTCGAGACGCTTGAGCCTTGATTGCAATTCATTAATCACTTTGGAATTGCTATGCCCAAACAATGTTTCAGAGATGACAATAGAAGCAAAGCTGTGCAAATCCTCATCAACCTTTATATTTGCTGTCCCACTTTGTTTTTCTATTTCAGTCTCCCATGTGTTGACTAGTTTGTTCGCAGAGTCTAACATTATGTGCACCAAATTCTGCATCATATTTTTTCCATTGATCGATTTCTCTATATAGTAAATAGTTTGCAAATTCAAATTGTAATAGCTATGGTGAGTATTGTATATTTGTATTAGTACCTTAACTTTATCGGCATAGAACTCAGGAGCTATGGTTTTTCTTTGGTGAGCCCAGAACTCTCCATCTGAGGTAGCTATGCCCTTACCAAGCAAGGTTTCTGAATTCTTTTGCAGGAAAAAAGGCTTTCCCAACTTGAGTGATGTGCTGAGGCTTATTTCCTTGGCCAAATGTGGATCAGTAATGTAAACCACTTGATATGTTCCCAAAGCAAAGTTGTATCTTTGACCTGTCAAAATCCACTCCAAATCAACATTTGTGATTGGAAATTACATGAACAAGTGTAGTAGTAAATGGGCTTTGCAAGTGGATAGTACCTACCATACTGTTTAGTCCAATGGTCAAATGATGGGAAGGTGAATCGAGCCCAATCGTGTGTGGCTTCACCATCTTCAGTAAGAGCTTTGATGCCTTTGGGTTGGAATTTGATGAAATCAGGAATGTTGCCAAGAAGAAATGAAGGTGAAGGACCTCTCAGACCTTGGGTACGAAGCTTTGATCGAAGCCTCTGAGGCCTCACCCAAAATCTATTGAAGAGATAGAGGATGAAACTAGTTAAGAAGAGCAACCCTACAGAAAAAGCAGAGTTGAAGAGCAATTCCATATCTTCAATTCTAATTAATTGTTTCTTTTTTTCTTTTTTTTCGTTTTTTTTTTATCCTATAGAGCTTTGCTCTTTGGTCTCTGTTTGTTTTCTTTCACTGGTTTGGCATATAAATATAGAAGAGAAGAGAATGCTGGTTGGAAATTAAAATAACAACAATGATTTAGACCATTAAAAAATAAATCATTAATAGCATTAATACATTGGAAATGATAAAAAAAATAATAAAAAATTAAAAACAAGGCATAGAAAATAATAATGTAATAGAGAGATGATGGCTAAGAGCATCAATATTAGGATCATCAAAATAATAAAAAGTTAAAATATAACTAATAAATCATTAAATTCTCCCTTCATCAGCCTCAATAAATTTTTTCTAAATTAATATTTTGTTAAATTTGCTACAGTACCTTAACAACTTTGTTGAGACACCGTTCATTTTGTTAAAGAGTCTGATGCCTCAACAAATTTTGAGTCAAATTATAACTCACAATTCACTTTTGTTATTTTAACTAGTCACATTTTTAATGTTCACAGCATTAAACTCTCTATTCTAACTCAATCTTATTAAAATAGTAATTTCTAATTGTATTTGTTATTTATTTATTTTTATTAAATTGATGAAGTGTCACCCAAATAATTTAAAAAAAAAAAAATTACTGTTGGCCGACCAGTCGACTAGTTAGACTAATTTTGAGCATTCTGCTACAGGCATTTACAGGACATCCGATAAGATATCTGGGAGACATCAAGGTAAACGACCGGTTTAAAGATTTTGACCTAATTTTATTCCATAAAATATAATAAAAAATTATGTAGCCAATGAACAATGCCCCTTAAAGTTATTGAGGTACTGTAGTAAATTTAACAAAAAAAATTAATTTATACAAAATTTATTGAAGTTGATAGAGGAAGGATTTGACGATTTACTAGCTATATTTTATATTTTTGTTATTTTGTGATTCGAATGGTCTAAGTCAACCATTGAAGCAGCTCAATCTGTTCAAATCAGAGAACACTAGGTGGCACGCAGGAACACCATAAATCAAATAAGTTGAAATTTTTGTTACTCCCTCCGTCTCAAAGTATTAGTTCCTTATTGCATTTTTCATTGTCTCAAAATATTAGTCCCTCTTCAAAAATCGAGTACAAAAATAATATAAATTTTCTATTTTGCCCTTCTTTTAAATTAATAAACAATATAAAAAGTATAATTATGACATTGATATTCTAAAAAAATATATTATCGAAAGGATAATTTTTGGTAAATTAATTTTTTTCAAATGTAATAATTATACTACTAAAAAAAGTTAAATTTCTCAAAAGAAATTATTATTTTGGAACGAAAGGAATATTTTGTGATGCGGATGGTGTAAGTCAACCATTGAAGTAGCTTAGTCAGGTCAAACAGGTGGCAGGCCGGAACAACGTAAATCAAAGAAAAATGTTTGGGAGCTTTAAATTGGGAGCATTAAAGGAGCTTTAGAGAGTGGATCCCACTGATTGATGTGATGTTTTGTTCTTAAGTTTTTTTTTGTCTTTTTTTTTTTTTGAATTTCCACCTCATTAGTGATCCATTAGTACTCTCAAATTAGTGGGATGTATCATTGTTGGTGTAAATGGATCTGATTGCAGCAAAGTTCACTAAAAAATCAAGGTACGCACACTTATTCTAAGGGTGTGTTTGAAAGTGTAAATAAATGTGATTGAAGCAAAGTTTATTAAAAATTCAAACAAAAAAAATAGCATTCACAAATTTAACTAAAATACAAAAATGGGGTGTGTTATTTTAAAAACTATACTTGTAAATATAAAAATTAGTTCTATAGCAAAACCAATTTATAACCAAACTTAGGTCAAGTTTGGCAAATTAAAAAAAAAAAATTAAAAAGTCAAAAAATTATTCAAAAATTTAAAAAGTTATCACCATTCACCAAAAGTTAACAAGTACCGCTACACAACTCTCAATCCCAATTTTTCTCTACACAATAATTTATACAATTTTTTAATACACATTTTTCCATAAAAAGTCAAAAAGTTAATCCAAACAACCATATTTTCTTCCTCAACTTTTTAGTCTAAAAAGACAAAAAGTGCACTTATTTAGGACACCCCAAACAACCCCTTAGTTTTCAAAGTAGGAGTCCCATGCTAGTTCCGTAAGTTTCCACAGCTCACATTGGTCCCTCCCAAGGTGTTTGAGGTGTTCCTCAGGCCGTCTCGTGGCTGTTGCACGATTTTCGCCTCCAATGGCCTATTTTTAAGTTTAAGTGTGAAAAAGTGTATTTTTGGACTTAGTTTTCAAACCGGGAGTCCCGTGCTAGTTCCGTAAGTTTACATAAGTTACAATGGTCGCTTCCAAGGTGTTTGAGGTGTTCCCCGGGCCTTCTCATTGTTGTTTAACAATTTTGGCCTCCAATGGCCTATTTTCAAACTTAAGTGTGAGAAAAGTGCATTTTTTTATTTAGTTTTCAAACTAGGAGTCCTATGCTAGTTCCGTAAGTTTCCACAACTTACATTGGTCCCTCCCGAGCTGTTTGAGGTGTTCCCTAAGCCTTCTCGTGATTATTACACGATTTTGGCCCCATATGGCCTATTTTCAAGCTCAAGTGTGAGAAAAGTGCATTTTTCGAGTTAGTTTTCAAACTGGGAGTCCCGTTCTAGTTCCGTAAGTTTTCATAAGTTACAGTGATCCCTCCTGAGGTGTTTGGAGTGTTCCCCCCGGCCTTCTTGTAATTGTTACACGATTTTGGCCCCATATGGCCGATTTATGCAGTTTAAGTGTGAGAAAAATGCATTTTTGGACTTAATTTTTAATTCTTGTCTAAGGCCTTTGAGAAAAATCACTTTAAGATCAAACTCGATTACAAGATCCACAAAACCTGAGGCCAAAACATTTAAAGAAAAACACAGCATCACTAATAAGTGTTCAAAGAAAAACATTCACATAAACTTATTTATATTTAATATGAAGATTACACAAAAGTTAAGAGCTGTAACAGATCATAAGCAAGCGGTAAAAGGAAAAATCTCAAAAATTTAGTTCCATACACAATAGAGAATTAAGAAAATTTCATATCCAACAGGAAATCTGTACCGCAACTAAATTGATTGGCATTGCAATAAATTATTGACAATTGAAGAAAATTAGCTAGTCAAACCTTTACAAATCTCACCTTCTTCCCAGCCTCAACTTGCTCAACCTCAGCACCAACAGCAAGAATCTAAAAAGGGGAAAAAGAGGATAGACCAAACAAGTAGCTTGAAAAAGAAAAAACTTATAGCCTGTGAGCATTTTAGTAAATGTAAATGGTTTCATATGTTGGGCATGAAAGTACAATTTCTAATGAGTTAGAAATTATAAAGATTGCACGGTGAAGTAGGGATCTTCATTTTCTTTTACAATTTACATTCGTACTAATTCTTCTTGAGAGGCTTCAGTTCAGCATTACAGCAGCAATTCCACTAACTTCAAACACATTAATTAAGCTAAATGGACATATGCTAAAAAAAAACATTGATCTTACCACTACAGATAAGGTTTCAACATTTGTTTTCCTCAAAAAAAAAAAAAAATTTGTATACATAAACAAGATTTTTTTTTGATTTGTTTGGTTGTATATTTTGAAAATAGTTTTAGAGTTTGGCATAATTTTTTTTGTCTTCTTTTTGTAGTTGAATAGATGGGTGTGGAAGAAAAATTGATTGATTGATTGATGTGTAGAATTTGAGAAGAAGAGAGAAGAGAGAAAAAAAATTTGATTAATTGATGTGTAGAATGTGAGAGGAGAGAGGAGAGAGAAAACAATTTTTCAAAAAGTTGTAAACCAGACAAGTTTTTTGGATTTTTTATTTCAAAAACTGATTTTAAAATGTAACCAAACACATAGTATGTTTGGGATGACTTTTTAACTTTTTAGAAAAAGATGTGCAAAAAGTAAAAAGAAAATGGAATCTTTAACTTTTAATTTAAATTGTTGGCTTTTTGACTTTGTTAGTGACTTTTGGGTTTTTAGGCCAAAATTGAATGTTGCCAAAGGAAGGTAATATAATACATAGCATCCTCACAAGAGAATGTGTATTTTGGAATTTCAGACAGCGCATGCTTCAACATTAACTAATCATGTTTAGGACTAATTTAAGTCTTAATTTATTTTT